GTTCCCATATACTATATTTCTATAGCACTAGGAGGGAGGACACATTAGACCAATAGGCACTGATATATGGAGCCAAATATTGGGGGAGGAGAGGAAAGATAAAGTTTTAGAGTTGTTACATAAATAAGATAAAAGGGAACCTAAATTTCCTTTGGAACCCTTTCATTGACAATCTGAGTTGTGGTTTTAAACAAACTAATTTTTCAATGAAGATAATTATAATATTAAAACATGATGGCACAATAAGCAAATTATTAAATGTTGATCTTTTCTAAACCAAAATAATTTAAACAACAAAATAAATTGCTGTATCTATAGCTGGCGAGATTTCAAATATACAGATGTAATCTATTTCCACTTCAACTGTTTCTCACAGTTTGCAGGCAGGTCTACTTGGTTTTTTTTAATGTATCAAGTTAACTTAAAAGGCTCCCCTAATGCCAAGCAATCGTTAACAGCACTATTAAACAGACCATGGCATGGCTCATAGTAAGTGACTTAACATTAACTTTCTAGTATACGAGGTGAGAGGAACTACAGAAATCTAGTGGGTGGGGCCTGTGCTTACGTTATGACAATGAGCATAAAATGAATGAAATGTTGTCACAGGAATTTATTATGGTAAATATTGATTTAGATATTCTAGACGTTCAATGTATATAATGACCAATTCCTGCAGATTCAGAGGCCAGCTTGTCATTGTGCCCTGGCCTCTCCTTCTGTCTCATGGGAGCTCCATGAACATTGAAGGAGAAACCCAGTTATAACACAGATGGACAGCTCCTAAAGAGCAAGACTCCAAGAATGATAATGGATTTGGCAGTTTTGTAGCATAAATGAGGATATGTCTACGCAAAACTGCACTCTGTAAATATGATTAGTATCATAGCAGATGAGGAAATATTTGAGATAATTTCTAATCGACCTGTTCTGAGATGTTATTAGACACCTCTGGAGCAGGTGGGGCTTGAACCTGGGTCTCCTTGCTCAGAGGTAGGGACACTACTGCTTGCCACAAGAGCCATCAAGGAAATATATGAAAGGCGGCCTTAATCATTTTCCAATTGACTGCAGTTCCAGAACAATTAAGTCACTTGCCTGAGACCACTTGGTTCCTTCTTTTCTATTATTGAGAATCTCAAGACAAGCTCGGATCTCACAAGGTAGACCAGACAGAATCTCATACTTGAGTAAAAGTCACACACCACCTAGAATATTTCACTGAAATTCTTTCTTTAAATGTTTTTTTTAGACCAGAGAAATTCATCATCAAAAGTTTGCAGGGAAACCTCTGAATGATTTAATAAATGTTTGACGTGAATGTTCCTGCATGGAAGGGGTCTGACAATGGCAGGCAATCCTTTTCGCATATGTACTTCCATTTTGTGAGCTTTATTTACAGATATGCACATTACAAACATACATGTCCTAAACCAACCACCACAGTTTGAGTCTGATCCTTTTTATACTTCTTTTGGAGACCAATTATTGTCCCATTTGGAAGGACTGCTACTCACCTACTGGAACAAGAACAAACCAAATCTTCAAAGGGAACTCAATAACTTGAATTAAAACGTCTCCCTCTCCAAACAATTATAATTGATCTAATAACAGTCTCCAGAAAACAGTGATCCAAACTGAGTGCCCCTTCAACCTAAGGTGTCTAAATAAAGGGGCGTAACACCAACTCTAGTTAACTAGAAGAATGCAGTGAAAGTAACAGGATCTTGTTGTGCCACCAATTATCTAGTGATTAAAAAGAAACAGAAAATGCAGAAAATATTCAAATTCTTTGTGCAGAGTCTCAGCTCTTGTGACTTTTCCTTCCATAATTCAGAGAATTATCAGTGTGTTATCTTGAGCAGTGTGCCTGTCACTCAAAGAGAATGGAGTGTGCCTGATGAACTTTGGAAATTTCATGAAGGATCAGGACTGACATGATCTCCTGCACTTTTTCAGAAGGATCACTGTATTCTAAATGTCTGCTTTCTCTCCACAGAAGCTTCCAGAACTGCTCAGTTTCTTTGGCAATTTCTGTTTTAAGCAAAACAGAGACTTTTGCTTAAAGGAACCCCTGATGCGCTAACTATTCGCAAGTATGATAATAATTACATTTGCAACAGACTGTTAGTATAGAGAAGTGGTAGTCTGGGAATGTTAATTACTTCATTCATGAGTGAGCTGTACATTGTTTAACAAGTTTTAAAGAATTAACATTTCTACAAAACAGCAGGACAGAATGCAGTCACAAAATTAACTGAAATTTGTCAGCGTAACTGACTTAGCTATCAAGTTCTAGAAAATAAATAATATCCTTTATTACAATCTAAGGAACGATGAATTACCTTTGGCACTACAGATTCTTTTAACTTAAAATGTAAAGGTTATGATTGATCTTTAGAATCCAGACAGACTGAATTTAATGTAGTGAGAGATGTTTCCTTGTATTTGGACTGAAATCTGAGGAGTTCGTATCTGTGATCTGAAGTGGTGTCTTGGGTTTAACACATCAAGAACCTTTCAACAATGGCTACATTTTCATACTGCTCCCCTCAGCTGAGTTAAGTACTTTCAGGGCAATGTCGCCAAGGGGTAAAACAGGAGACTTCTTGAGTGGTCGCATGAATGGTGCTGTTTTGTTATTGCCTCTTTCCTGTGTTACAATCTCAAAGAATTTTGCACATTTCCAGGGTAGCCAGTCTGTCATTCAGTGACAATTCCGTGCCTATCAGGTCTGTAGCAGCAATACACAAGCAATGTTTTACTCAACACATCAAATCAAATCTGATAGGCCTTTTAACATTGCTCCAGATTTTTTTTCAGACTAGAACTTAATGAATGGAAGGGACTCATATGCTGACAGTAATTTTCAACTGATCCCTTACTAATTATCTTTGTGGTACAGCTAGACACTCTGGTAGTGGGCAGCTTAATTCCTACAGAACAAATTTAATTTGTTGTTTTTAGCACAGATTTATATGTTTGTGGTTAAACACTAATGGAACATAAATAAATTAGAAAAGTATGCCAGATTCTTTGGAGTCAGATTTGACTCAGAATTGTTGGGTTCTCTTCACAAATGCTGCCAAATTGGTGAATATTTTCAGCACTTTTTTAAAAGACTCACCTGTAGGAGTTTGACTAGCTAAGACTATAATGTTTCTCACATCACCCTATTGTCTCTGCTCTCTTTGCATTAACACTTGTAATAAGTTAACTTAGAAAAAACACGTCTTCATACAAAGAGTTGTGAAAACTGGAACTCACTTCCCAAAAGTCTGTGCATGCAGGGTCAATTGGAATTTTAAAAGATTGGTAAGATATATTTTCAGTGAAGATCTCAAGGGAGATGGAAGAAAAGTGGGTAGAAAGAGTTAAGGTGCAGATCCCTAAGATTTATTGAATGGAAGAATGTCTTGAGAGGTGGAATGGCTTCCTCTTGTATCTATTCCAATTTCACTCAAGAATGTTGTTGTCACTTAATCTAATCATAATTAATTATTTAATAGCATACAGGCACTGTTGGCAAGGCCAACATTTCTTTCCCATTCCTAACTGTCCTTGTGGATACAGCAGTCTCTTGAACCTCTTCAGTCCATCTAGTACAGATGCACCAACAGTGCCCTTTGGATGGGAGCCCCAACATTTTGATCCAGCAATATTAATGGAATAGCAATATAGTCCCAAGTCAGGATTGTGCATGGCTTTCAGGGAAACTTGCATGGTGCTTCCATGCATCTGCTTCCTTTGCCCTTTCAGGTTATAGAGGTCATGGGTTTGGATGGTGCTGTCAAAGGAGTATTGGTGAATTGCTGCGTTTGGTTTTGTCAACGTAAAGGAAATTGTATTGAGAGCAATCAATCCAGTAGGCCAGATATAAAGAAGTACAAGTAAAACACTGCTTTACCTGGAAGCTGTGTTTGGGTTTTTGGACACTGAGGAGGTGAATGGTCAGATGTTACACATGAGATTTCATCGGAAAGTGCCGTGGGTGAAATGAAGAACTGTTAGGAGTGATGGAGGAGTGGACAGGATGATGCAGAGGTAACAGTCCCTATGGAATGGTGACATCCTGCTGGAGGTGGTAGAAATGACAGGGTGATCCTTTGAATATGGAGACTGGTGTGGTAAAAAATGAGGATAAGCTAAGGCTAGAATCCTGAAGAGAGGAGGCATCAGTACCTGAGTTTCTGCTGCTTGCCTTCCTTGACGCCTAAAACTAAGAGAAAAAAGTTACTTTTTAAGGCACTGAATGAGATAGAAAATGAAATGTAACTGAGGTCAGGGTCAACTTTGAGATTAATTGAGGTAGCATTGATGGAGAGCGAAGTTGTGAGTGTGCAGGTGGTGGCACCATGGCACTCAATGTGAATCTCATGATGCAGCAGATTGTCTTACAGACACATGTAATCTTGGTTGGATTTGAAACATGGATGGGACTTCAGTTGGAAATCGTGTGGGATAAGGCAGAGCTAGACACTGTCTCTGAGGAAAGCGATGTGGCTGTGCAAGCAGGTTTTGGCACTTCATTAAACACTGGGAGGTAACTGAAAGAGACAAACGTGAACAAGGCGAAAGATTAAAACAAAAATCAGTTTAGGGATTGTTGGTCCCATGTAGGTACCATATAAAGGCAGGTTATTCCTTTTTCTCATTTCCTTTTTTCTTCTACCTTTTTTAATCTCTCATGTTTTCTGACCGATTCCTTTCATTTCCGTTTCTCTATCTGATCGAGTCTAGTTGAATCCTTTCAGTGGCGACCCGACCGTTCTTTCGCCAGTCAGTCGGGTTCCTAAACTCGGTGGGCGTTAGGACCGCAGCGCAGTCGCTCCCGCAAATAAAGCTTGGAATTTTTTTTGCAGTTGAGGAAGATTTGAAGGAGCTGTAGCGTCTCCGAACGACAGGGCGGTGACATCTTGCAGTCAGTGAACAAGGAGTTGCGCCAGTGTAGACGAGGTTGCAATGAAAAGCGGGCTGAGGTGGTTTTAGCTCTTGCTCAACCTGGACCTTTGTCATGGCTCTCGCTCTGTGGCTCTTTTTTGTCTGCTGTCTCCCGGCACTGGCAGCTCATCCCAGGGGGCAGAGAACCTCCACCCTGACTTTCGTTTTCGATGTGACCGGCTCCATGTACGATGACCTGCTTCAGGTGATGGAGGGAGCAGCTAAAATCCTGGAGAGCACATTGGACAGAACCAGCACTCCAGTATCTAACTTTGCACTGGTGCCTTTCCATGACCCAGGTGAGTGAGGGAACTAGTGAAAAAGATGGAGTTTATGGAGACGTGGGAGGGAGAATAGGAGAGGGGAAAAAGTAAGCGGTCGAAGGAGGTGTCGAGAACGTAAGCATGAATGAGGGTGCGCAGGACTAAGAGCGGGGCGAATAAAAAAGGAATGGGTTAATGCAGGACGAGAGAGGCAGATTTTAGATCAGAATTCCTTGTTTCAGGATGAGATCGGAACATTTTCTCTCTGCCCTCTGGGGTTTTTCCTGCTGAGTTTCCTCTTCTCGTTTCTATTCTCACCTCAATCCTCTCCTGACAGCATGGATTCATTCTGAAGCAGGGTGAGCTCAGACTAGTTACAGAATGATTAGAGACAGATTGAAAACTATGTTTCCCATTTCTTTGTAAACAGCAAAGAAAAAGACATAAAAAGTGTCCACAATGAAATAATTCTGCAACACGAGAATAATTTATCTAACAGTAAAGGATAAGATCAAAGACTGTTTAAATATCTTTCTCCTTCCACTTTGAAAGTGCTGCCTTCGGTTGGGATTTGCTTCCAGGGATTGTTGACCAATTTGTTTCTTGCCGTTGGTTCGGTTTTTACATTTAAATCGTAATAGAAATAGTAATTAAATTGACTGAGGTGGTCTTGGGGTGCTGAGGAAAGGAAGGAGAGGTAATATTCCTATATAGTCGATTCCAGCAACGAGTTTCTTGATAGTAATCGGGATCTGGAGCCGCGTTGAATACTCTCCCTTTCCTACCTCGCGGAGCTGCAGCCTGGCTGGGATCATCAAACGAACTCAGCAGAAGACTGGAAATTGGAACCATCAGTAGGCAAGACTTTTCACTCTGCCCATAAACCCCTTTGTGGGGGAGAACAAAGTAAGGATTTCCAAAAGTTGGTATTCCATTTATGGCAATAAAAAAAGTGTAGTAGCGAGGAACATGCGGAAAATTTGCAAGCATGTGATCTAAACGAGAGGAATCACGAAGGTATTTTCTAATTAGAAACGAAATACAACTGAGAGATAACGGAGTGGTGAGAGCCTAAACAGGTCTTGTTACAGGAAAGCACAATTCTTTTAAATTCAATTATATTTGATTAATTTAAAGAGAAATATGTAGCAGATGTTGGAATCTGGTTTTGTTTTTAATTCCTTCATTCATCGCCTGAGTGGGGAGAGATGGCGGGGGGATGGGGTGGAGAGCTGAGTTTAATACAGGGTTCCTGATGGAAGTGTGTCTGTCTCACCAGGGACTGGGGCGCTATCAGGGTGAAATTCAATTTGAACGTAAATGGTGCTTTGTACCTTAAGTAACGTTAGAGCGGTTGTGGAGTGCTCTTTCCTGTATTGCTCCTAACATTGGAATAGCAGTGAATATATTGGTATCCATTAGTCTTCCTTTTTTCTTGCTTATTACAACTGCGAGGAGTCGACGATCTACATACAGTAAGCGTGTCACCGTCTGTATCTTCACGATTTAGTGTTTGCAATTAAGTAGAAATTTAAAACTGTAGGACTCTTGACGTTGTTAATTAAGAAAACTTGTGTGGGATCTGCAAGCGAGAAAAATATGTGGAAGTAAAAGTTTTTAGAAGTGGTAAAGCTATCAGCCTTGATATCACAAAGAATGCAGGAGAAACTCAGCAGGTCTGACAGATCTGTGGAGAGAGAAACAGCTGCTAGACTGGGTCTGCAGCGGTGTTGAGGGAACAAACAAGAGGGAATAACATACTTGATCTCATCCTTACCAATGGGCCAGCTGCAGATGCATCTGTCCATGACAGTATTGGTAACAGCAACCACCACACAGTCCTTGTGGAGATGTAGTCCCACCTTCACATTGAGAATAACCTCCATTGTGTTGTGTGGCACTATCACCGTACTAAATGGGACGAACTTTGAACAGATCTACTAATGCAAGACTAGACATCCATGAGATGCTGTGGGCCAACAACAGCAGTTGAACTGTATTCCCACACAATGTGCAACCACACAGCTGTGTTAATCCTCCACTGAACCACTACTATTAAGCCAGTGGATCAGTCCTGGTTCAATGGAGAGTGCAGGAGAGCATGCCAGAAGCAGCACCAGGCATACCTGAAGATAAGGTGTCAACCTGGTGAAGCCACCAAACAGGACAATTGCATGCCAAACAGCATAAACAACAAGTGACAGACAGAGCTAAGTGATCCTACAACCAACGGATCAGATATAAGCTCTGCAGTCCTGCCACATCCAGTCATGAATGGTGGTGGACGATTAAACAACTCACTGGAGGAGGAAGCTCCACAAATATCCCCATCCTCAACAATGGAAGAGCCCAGCAGATCAGTCCAAAGGATAAAGGTGAAGGAATCTTCAGCCAGAAGTGCTAAGTGGATGATCCGTCTCGGCCTCCTCTAGTGGTCCCCAGCATTACAGTTATCAGTCTTCAGCCAATTTGATTCACTCCACGTGATATCAAGAAACAGCAGGAGACACTGGATTCTGGATATGTGCCCTGACAACATTCCAGTGATAGTGCTGAAGACTTGTGCTCCAGAACTTGCTGCTCCCCTAGCCAAGCTGTTCCAGTACAGTTACAACACTGGCATATGTACAATGTGGAAAATTGCCCAAGTATGTCCTGTACAGAAAAAGCAGGACAGATCCAACCTGATCCTTCTGAGGAAGGGTCACTGGACCCAAAACGTTAACTCCTGATTTTTTCTTCACAGATGCTGCCAGACACACTGTTTCTGTTTTTGTTCTGGCTAATTACCATCCGATCAGTCTACTCTTGATCATCAGTAAAGTGTTGGAAGGTGTCATCAATAGTTCTATCAAGCAGCACCTGCTCAGCAACAACCTGCTCAGTGACACCCAGTTTGGATTCCACCAGGGCCATTCAGCTCCTGACCTCATTACAGCCTTGGTTTAAACACGGACAAAAGAGCTGAATTGCAGAGGTGAGGTGAGAATGACAACCCTTGACATCAAGGCTGCATTCGACCGAGCGTGGCATTAAGGAGTCCCAGCAAAACTGGAATGAATGGGTATCGGGGGCAAACTCTCTGGTGGTTAGGGTCATACCTGACACAGAGGAAGATGGCCGTGGTTTTTGGAGGTCAGTCATCTCAGCTCCAGGACGTCCCTGCAGGAGTTTCTCAGGGTAGTGTCCTAGGCCCAACCATCTTCAGCTGCTTCATCAATGACTTTCTTGCCAATCATAAGGTCAGAATTGGAGATGTTTGTCGATGATTGCACAATATTCAGCACCATTTGCAACTCCTCACATACTGAAGCAGTCCACATAAAAATGTAACTAGATCTAGACAATATCCAGGGTTGGGCTGACAAGTGAAAAGTAATATTCGCTCCACTCAAATGCCAGGCAATGACCATTACGAATAAGAGATATTCTAATCACCACCTCTTGTCATTCAATGGTGTTACCAACATTGAATTCTCCACTATCAACATCCTGGGAGTTAACATTGACCAGAAACTGAACTGGACTCACCACAAAAAAACAGTGGCTACAAAAACAGATCAGAGGCTAGGAATACTACAGCGAGTAACACTTCCTCCTCAAAGCCTGTTCACCATCTACAAGGCTCAGGTCAGGAGTGTGATGGAATACTCCCCATTTGCCTGGATGAGTGCAGCCACAACAACACTCAAGAAGCTTGACACCATCCAGAACAAAGCAGCTGGCTTTATCGGCACTACATCCACAAGCATCCACTCCCTCCACCACTGATGCTCAGTGGCAACTGTGTGTAATATTTACAAGATGCACTGCAGAAATTCACCAAAGATCTTCAAACAGCACCTTCCAAACCCATGACCACCTCCATCTAAAAGGACAAGGGCAGCAGATATATGGGAACACCACAATCTTCAAGTACCCCTCTAAGCCACTCACCATCCTGAGTTGGAAATATATCGCCGCTTCTTCACTGTCGCTGGGTCAAAATCCTGGAATTCCCTCCTTAATGGCATTGTGGTCATCCCACAGCAGGTGGACTGCAGCAGTTCAAGAAGGCAGCTCACCACCACCTTCTCAAGGACAACTAGGGATGGGCAACAAATGCTGGCCAGCCAGCAATGCCCACACCCCACCAAGGAATAAAAAGTTTTGAGCTTCATATGACTATTCTTCAGAACTGAAAGGTGTTAGAAAATAGAGATAACAAGGTGTAGAGGTGGATGAACACAGCAGGCCAAGCAGCAGTAGAGGAGCAGGAAAGCTGACGTTTCGAGCCTAGACACTTCTTCAGAAATGGGGGAGGGGAAGGGGATTCTGAAATAAATAGGGAGAGAGGGGGAGGTGGATAGAAGATGGATAAAGGAGAAGATAGGTGGAGAGGAGACAGACAGGTCAAAGAGGTAGGGGTGGAGCCAGTAAAGGTGAGTGTAGGTGGGGAGTTAGGGAGGGGATAGGTCAGTCCAGGGAGGACGGACAGGTCAAGGGGGCGGGATGAGGCTAGTAGGTAGGAGATGGGGGTGGGGCTTGAGGTGGGAGGACAGGATAGGTGGGAGGAAGGACAGGTTAGGGAGGCGGGGACAAGCTGGGCTGGTTTTGGGATGCGGTTGGGGGAGGGGACATTTTGAAGTTTGTGAAGTCGGGGAAACCAAGCGGAGGCTTGGGGACTGCTTTGCGGAACACCTATGCTCGGTTCACAACAAACAACTGTACCTCCCAGTCGTGAACCATTTCAACTCCCCCTCCTATTCCTTAGACGACATGTCCATCCTGGGCCTCCTGCAGTGCCACAACGATGCCACCCGAAGGTTGCAGGAACAGCACCTCATATTTCGCTTGGGAACCCTGCAGCCCAATGGTATCAATGTGGACTTCACAAGCTTCAAAATCTCCCCTCCCCCAACCACATCCCAAAACCAGCCCAGCTTGTCCCTGCCTCCCTAACCTGTCCTTCCTCCCACCTATCCCATCCTCCTACCTCAAGCTCCACCCTCATCTCCTACCTACTAGCCTCATCCCGCCCCCTTGACCTGTCCGTC